TTTTTTTTGTTTTAGTATTTTGAAGTTGACCAATTGTTACTATAAGCAATTAATGATTATAGATGATCTGCATCGTACTACACCGAGGTCACGGCCCCTCACCTGTAGATAAGGTTTCGCTCGAGCTCTTCTCTTTGATGTCAAATACTACACTTACCTAATCAAAGAGGCTCGGATGAAAGGCAAACCGGCGCAAAGTCCCCGTCATACCAGCGCTTCTTCCTTCCACATACCCTCCAGGACACATAGTGGGTGAGGGGTTAACCTTTTTTTTTCAGATGGGACGACAGAATCTGTAACCCTACCCTGCACTCCGTATGTTTTTTTAATATTTGTTTTTGACGCCTTTGACGCCTTTGTCGTCGTCATTGTCGTCTTCGTTGTCGTCGCCGTCGTCGTCGGTTGTTGTCCATGTCCAAGTAAGAAAAATAAAATTAATTTAAATGAATTCATAAAAATAATGAATTCATTAAAAAAAATTTATTTTCCTTTTTTTTTTAAAAAAAAAAAAAAAACAAATAAACAATATATATACGATAAGGTTATGAAAACAATCTATTCTTTTTTAAGATGGAACGTAAACAAACAATATTTAATATTATTTACATAATTTTTTACCCTTCCATAAATGGGTTTTTAATATGATGATTCTTTTACATAAACACGGGTAGAAATTCCTTTTTGATTGGCCAATTTAATTTTCATGTATAGATTTTTGTTTTCACATACAAAATCGTCATTATGCTATTAGCGACCACATGGATTAGGCGTTACTGTACATATATTAATATTAATATATCGTCATCACTACATCATCCTTCCCAATTGACCTATGTCACACATAATAGTTTTTAATATAGAACAGCCTGAATAATTTACAAAGACTGTATAGATTATTTCTTAAAATTGGACACGTACTAGTGATAATGTAGTAGGCATGGTATACCACAACAATTATAGTAAAGACTCGGTTCCATTATAAAGAAAAATCAGTTTATAGCGAACTTATTATAAATAAATTGAAAAGTCCCTTGCAACGAGATGAAATTCATGGTAACTAAGTCTAAACTATCCGATAACTATATACTGTTTCCACTTCTTTCTCTTCATAAGAATTGTCAACCTCGGGATCTGGCCTCACTGCTCTAACAATTTCTTCGTCAGTTAGTTCTTTGTACTAGTACTTCATCACTAAATAAACCGTTTTGCAGCGATTAGATCTTGCAGATAAATTTGTAAATTAACCAAAATTATTTTGACACCACTAAAAAAGAGGACGATGTGTAAATTAATTGATTGTAAAAAGGATACTTTTCCGAGGGCCAGAGCAATATATATAGTAATAGGTAATCCGTGGGTTTGTTTTAAGATTAGAAAATGAATTGGCTCATCAAGTAAATTGGGTTGATTATTACTATGTTAGGTAAAAATACTTTGAAATTTGATCATTTTTATCATATTATTCATGCTAAGGAAATTGTTGCATTTGTGTTAAAACAATAAAGTTTAATAGATGCTAGGATGAAATTTACTTAAATCATCATGCAAAGAGTGCTGGATGTAAAGGCGAAGAACAATTTTCAATTTTACAATCATGTTCAAACTGAAAACACGAATAATTTGTATATGATAGATAATATGAATGATGATGACTTACTTCGAGTAGATAAAATAATGATGTTACTTTAATAAATACGTCAATTGTGCAATATGGCAACAAATGAACTGATTAAAACTATTAACGAGATTTTACCAGGGAGCGCGCAGTAAGCTTTATGAAATTTTTATTAATTGAATATTAATTAATTGTTTTTGCTACTTTCTAATTTGGCCAAGATCTCTCTGGTTCATGCCTTTCAATCTTGCGTTTTCTCAAATCACATATTGATCAATTTTTATACAAGAAAAGTCGAAACCCAAAATCTCAAGCAAATCCTAAGAAGGCACTCTGTCATAGCTACACATATACTTGACCAGGCACAAACATATTTTCATCAATGTTGACAGTTTTATGAGGCAATATTAATCCTTGGGTTATGTACACTGTAAGAGCGAAGACATTATGCAGAAGAAATTGTTGTCTTGATGCAGGGCTTCGATTGATATTAAAGTGAATGGTTTCTTTTTGCGCAGTCATCTTTGTGGTATTGCGGGTTGTCAGAAAGGTCACTTCAACATTTTGAGGATCAGTCATTTTGATTATCATGCCAATTGTCCCACTGCAAATTACATGATCAATCAACTTGTTGTTGAGGAACATCACTTTTGCACCTTTTTGAAGAATGGCATGCTTGGGGAGGTTTATATAACGGTTGAAGTGAAAATCTTCACTTTGATTCTGATTGAGGATGTTGAGATGATTTTTTACAAATCAGTTGGTTAAATTAACTCTTTTAAGTTTGACCTTGCATTTTTGCATTCTATTTAGATTCGATAGGTACTAAACACTATATCAAGCACGAAATCAGTATCCTTTGATTGATAAAACCTCATCTAATGGTGTTAATTGCATTCTTAGTTTACGAAATAACCAATTGTCACCTTCTAAGAGGCTTTGTTACTTCTAGGAAACCATATACAAACATTTTTTGGAATTACGTATATTGTGATTACACTAACTATACTGATTGAATAATTGTAGTATATATACTCACGTGTGGACATGGTTATTACAATAATTGTCTACAAAGGTGCCAATCTAAATGTTTGATATCTTCAAGTCGAAATCAAAAAAAATGTCAACGCACTAAAAGAAAGTATGGTGAAAATATTAAATGAAAATCAATTTATCGAAAATAACGAAAATACAGTTGATGATGATTTGGGTAATGTTGAATCAGCAACAGATGATGCAACAACAATGGAAATTTATTAGAACAGAAAATAACGAAAATACAGTTGATGATGATTTGGGTAATGTTGAATCAGCAACAGATGATGCAACAACAATGGAAATTTATTAGAACATGCAAAAAAAATTCTTTGGGTTGTAAATTTTGTCTTTATTAAATAAATTTGTTTGATTTTTCATACATTGTTCATTTTTCGTCTCAATCATGTACCTTAAATTTGTTGTGTTTACAATCATTTCATTGACATTCATTATATTAAGGTTATTTTGATTATATCGAGAGATATGGTCAAGAGAAGAGTTAGGAAGAGAGTTATTCTTCGATCAAGTCAAAAAAACCAACCCTTTAAATATATTTTCGAGTAGTGCAATTTAATTTATTAGACTATTTCAATGGTTTGTTGCATGTTTGCTTCCAACTTCTTAAATTCGTTAACAAAACAATTGTTGGTGAAGTGATTGTTGACAAAATGAATCAAACCCATATTTATT